AAGAGACAATGAAAAGGTTTGGAAAACAACTTGTGTGTGTGTGTGTGAACTTTTGCTACAACCTTGGCAAAACATTTACAGTGCTATTTCATTTGCTTACCCAAGCATACGGGGAGGACCGTATGAGTCGAGCGAAATGCTCTATGGTTTAAGTGTTTTGAAAACGGCAGGATGTGGGTCAGCGCCCATCCCAAGCCAGCACGACTTTCCACATCAACAGACGATTACCATATATACCGAATTCTTGCGGTGTTATGTGGAAATTGCCGTTTAACTGTTTGAGAAGTTGCTGATGTAGTGGACATCAGCTTAAGATCAAGTCATCAATTTCTAGCGTGTTTGAAGGATGTTTTGAGCAAAAGTGCTGAACTGCAGGAAAACCAGAATTGGACGTTGCATCGTGAAAATGCATCGGCGCACGCATCGCAGCTTGTCCGCAGCTACCTAGCAAAACAACATACTCCCACTGTGCCCCATCCAACGTCTTCTCCGGACAAAGCCACTATAGACTTTCTCCAGTTTTCTAAACAAAAAACCATGTTAAAATGACGTCGCTTCAAACCACAGAGGAGTTTCGGGGCTATGCGACAACAGACCTGCGCGCCATCCTAGAAAATGCGTTTCAGGTAACTTACCAGAAATGAAAGCACCGTTGAAAATGGTGTATTGCTAGTAGGAAGGATTAGTTTGTGGGGTAAGTGCTTAAAACCTTGTGCAATGAGCAAGAAAATGTTCCAGCAAAGTTCGGTTTTCTTTTGTCCACCCCGCAAGAATTTAGAGAACGATTATGTAACAATGGAACAATGGTTTATTACGGGTAAAAAGACATTGCTTAACAAGTCCCGTAGGATGCAAGTTATTGCGAAAATCAATCTCATTATAAAATGAAAAGCATTGTGGTGGACTCACCATAGACTTATGTGGAATAGCGGAGATGTTTGCGTATTAAACATTTAAATCCATAAATCCATTGGTTAGGCGTTTGGCAAGACACTGTTTGATTGCGTCTTGTAGCCCCTGGCTAACAAGCCATAAAATGAAATGTAAGTTAGACAATGTATCGTCAACACGTTTTTTAAATGTCGCCAAATTGGGCGCAGAGACAACATAAATAGGGAGGGCGTTCCAAGGCTGGCACACGGGGAGGAAAAAGAAATGTCTACGGCATTCAAGTCCACTATACTGAATTGTCAGTTTCAGAGGGTGACCTCTTAGTCTCGTGTTGTGGTTCAATTCCAGCAGCGGACGGCAGATGTGGTTTGGATTCTTCAGAATTTGGTAAACCATTGTGAGATCCCCCCGCAAAAGCCGATATCGACTACTGAACATTCTTAGAGATTTCAGTCTAAGCTGATAGGGCAGATGAAAGAGGCCCCTGACATTCTTGGTTGCCCTTCGTTGAGGAGTCTCGAGTGCAACAAGATCCTGTTTCTGCCATGGCTGCTAGGTATGAATAGCATATTCCACGTGCGGTCGCACGTACACATTAAGCATTTAGGAAAAGATTGAGGGTTCCAACCGACCGAAGGCTCTGCGAAGAAGGCCGAAGTGTTGATTACCGATTCTCGTCACTTCTCTGCCTGTTTTGAACACCCGAGAACTTCCTTTACCAATACACCCAGGTCACGCTCCTGAAAGACCTTCTCCAAGGTTTGGTCTCCAAGGTTGTAAGCGCTCACAAGCTAGTAACACAGATGTATCACTTTGCACTTACTATGTTCAATTGAAGCATGTTCCTCTTTTACCATTCGTAAATGCAATCGTGGTCATGTTGGGGCAGATCGTGATCTGGATTGTTACTAATCGCCCGCCATATCTTGACGTCATCGGCGAAAAGCAGGAAATTTGGGGAGATAACTGATGCCAGGTCGTTGATAAGCACACGGAATAAGCGTAGTCACAGCACTGAGCGTTGTGGAACACCACATTCCACCTCAATTGGGTTAGAGATTGATCCCCTAACACGTACTTGAATCTTCCGTTTGTGAAGGAAGCTGCCAATCCAACCAAGTACAGGATCTCCGATTCCGTATCTCTGTAGCCGTTGAAGTAGGATGCGGTGATCAAGGTAGTCATAAGCTTTGGAGAAGTCCAGATAGATGACGTCGACACCGACGCCATCATCGGCCACTTCCGTCCAACTACCTCGTGCAAGCAATAGGTTGGTGGTGCATGACCGGTGTTGACGGAAGCCATGCTGTTCAGGTACTAAGATGTTGCATGTTTCCAAGTAGTCCATTAAAGCCTCAGCGACGCCTGCTTCCGTCAGCTTCGCGAGCACAGGGAAGAGAGAGTTTGCAAGATCTGAACGGCTACCGCCTTTAAAAATAGGGGTGATAATGCCACACTTCCACGTAGTGGGGACTTGTTCATCAAAGCACCTTTGGAATAACTGTGACAGGGGTTCAGCTAGCTTGTTGGCCACAACCTTCAGTGTCGACGGATGGCAGCTATATTTTGCAACCTTTTTGTCATGCTCTGATGGCGTTGTGCAGGTTTCAAATTCTAACTGCTCGCACAATTCAATATTCAGTATTCAAACAAGACAACGCTGTACATTGGAGGACCAAATTCTCTGTGGTTCTGTGCAAAACGTATGGTCAGCCTACTAACCAAGATGTGTTCATGAAGTATCTTGGAAATACAACAGACTGTTGACAGCGATTGAGCAAATGCGAAACACCGAAATAGTTTCACCCGGAGAAAACATAACACAGAGTAGGCCGCAGTCTTACTCCCTTAGTTTCACATCAACATTGAGGTAAGATGCTGGGCAACGCGTTACAATTGCGCTACTTTTGGCGTTAAACGTTAATCAACGTGCTACAACAACGTGCTGCTACGAGCCTAACTACGTCTGAAGTAGCAACCTCTAATCCGGTTGGAATAAGTAACACCGGAGCCTCAATCAACCTCTAAAATGTTCCGAGATGTAAGAAGAGCGTCGACACAAGAGTTACTTAGAATGTGATTGCTGCCAAAGGGAACTCGAAAACTTAGGCGTTAATTTACTTTTGCTAAATCTACAATAAATAAATGGGGCAAACTTCTAATTACGTAGCCTCCAGTGACTGTATGCGGACCGTCGGAGTAGTCGACCCAATCCAAGTTGCATATACGGACATTAAGAGATCACCTAGTGCACCGTTAATAATTTGCATCGTTGTTCACAAACCATCGTCAACTTCCTTAGAATAAATGCAAATCGCTAATGTGAACCCTTGGAGCTTCACAAATGAAGTTTTTGGTGTTGAAGCTAAGCCCGCAAAACCGATGCGGGTCATCCATCACTCAAACTGAAAGCGCTACGGAAAACCCAGAATTCGCTGAGTTGTGCTAAATTCAACCGGGGAAACGGATACAGTTCGTCGCTAGAATTGGTTCTGTTTCCTCCGCATCTTCCCGTATATCCGTTGGAGCAAGCGTAAACAAGTGAAGCACAACTCCGGTGAATACTGGAAAGAATCCGTAGCCATGACCATCCTTGTGCACGATATTCCTGAGATTGGATGACTTGATGAGCGCGAAACGACTAACCAAGAATAGGAGCAGTTGCACTTCACTCGCAAGACACTGTCCCTGGAAAGCTTGTGCCCCAGTCGATCTAGGGGCTACGTAGATCGACAAGTAACGAAGGACGTTGCCCGAGATAGTGCGCCACTCAAGACAGCTGTCAAAAATGGTATTGAAGTGTTGGTATGTGCACAGAAGGAGACAAGTTTCTAAACACCGGGAAAAAGCGGCTTCTTTTAAGAAAACACACGACAGGAGAAATATAATCGCACCAAGTCCCGATAATGGTTCGGAACACCTACGTCATCTGGCCAACCAAACCGGTGGCCCCAGTCAATAC